CTAGCCAAACTTGATCAAAAAATGACTACATAAGCAGCATAGAATCTTCCCATTGATTTTTAATGCTCCACTAAGTGCGAATAAATTTTACAGAAGACAGACACAAGCATTTAATTTACTTTAATCATTTGTTACATATTTGTGTCCACTTCACGTTTTACAATATTTAAATTTCGAACTGGTCTTCTGGTTCCTGAATATTTGTGAACCCAGTAGACAGCCATAATTGTGCGTCGAAGCCTTAACCTTCGTGGCGCATAATTTCTCTGTCGAAAAAAAGCGGATATTTACTCACGCTATTCAAAAAGACATCTTGTGAGGCTGGGTGTAGACAGTGCTGTATACTTCATAAACAACAGCCTTAATAAACGCACTAATATGATGTTATATGAATAAAAATTAAACCCTCCTTTGAAGAGCATAAGTGGAAACGCTGTAAAGGCAAAATATACTCTTTTTTAGCATAAGGCTCGAAGAAAAATCAAATCTTTACCAAAGGAGTACAGGGGCAAACATCTTGCTCATGGTTCCCATAAAATAAATTTGTGTTTTTGTGGGAGCATCGAAAATAGATGGAAATACTTCATACTACTTAAGCAGCCATTCTGAACAATTTGGTCGGCACAGGCGGTGGAGAGGAATTTTGTTTAAAAGATAGAATCCTGATATAACTTAAATACTTAGAGATTATTCCGAAAAGTAGTCAATATTACCAACACAAATACGTAATTCCTTTCAATCGAAAAAATGCCTCCTACTATCTACCTCAGGTTCTTATGTTGCATTTCTAGCCTGTGATTGGCTGATGGACCCCCAAAAAAGGAAATTTGGGCGTTGGTTGTCTCTGTCTGGAACAGTCATCGATTTGGATATATGTGCTGGGGTCTGAAGGCAGTTTCAAAGTTACCACAGGATATTGGAACATTTTTCCAAATGGTCTGAGGGTAGCAATGGGAAGTTCACTGGAACCAACCTTTGCTACCGTATTTATGGGCCATTTAGAAGAAAAAATATCCTCAAAACTGAACAAGACAACACTCTACAAAAGATATGTAGATGATGTCTTCGCAATTGTCGACAGCATAAAGGAAGCCGAAGAATTGTTGTCTGCAATGAACAGTCTGCATCTCAAGATTAAATTTACTATAGAACAAGAACGAGATAACCAGCGCTCCTTCGCATACGTTTACATGTCCAGACAGATAGATGACTCCATTACACCACCTGTCTTTCATAAGAATACATGGAAAGGACAGTACCTGCGTTGTTTGAGTTTTGTTCCCATTCAGTGGAAAAGAAATTTGGTATGTACTCTCTTTCAGAGGACGAGAAAAATCTGCCAGCCTCAAAGCAACTTTACTTAAGCGGGATACCCAGCAGAGTTTATAGACAATTAAAACAAAAACACTTACAGCCTAAGATGACAGAACGGTCGTTTCAGAAAAAGCCTGTCTCTATATCCTTGCCCTTTAA